GGTCAGTTCACTCAGTTGAACACTGGTGGATGGCAGCCAACATCTTTGGCTAGAATAAACCAGAGGATTGAACAACAGCACAAGATGGCATGCTCAAACGAGTGCACATGTAACCTTGCATGGCTATGACTTCATTCCATGAAAACAGGCTGCAATGCATATCCTGCCAAGTAAGCTCTTTAGGCACGAGCTTTCCCCAGCTGCCTTGGACCCACAGCCTGCCCAGATCTGTGCACTCAGTGCCACTGCTTCTGCTAGAACCATACCACCTGTGCTGTGGAAACCCTAGCAGCCCAGTGTGATAGCCCCAACCCAACGGCACATGCTAGCGTCCGCACTGCAGCACCCTAAACACAAAACTGGTGTGGATGTTATCAGAGCTTGCTGGGGAGCTGGGGCAGGTAAGGCAGCCATCTGTTTTTTTGGCAGACAAAACTCCTCGTCAGTGCCATGGAAAGCACTGTAATCTCAGCACTACAGTCAGTCTATGCAGAAGAATGCACATGCCTTCCTGATGCATCAATGGAATTTGAGCTCCTAAAAAAAGAACTAATGAGCATCAGGAATGAAACCTCCCAAAGTCAGACTTTGGTACTTTTGAAATAGTGGTGAATATGTAGATGTTAGCAGAATTTTTCCTTACACATTTTGCAGAAATAAATTCCTTCAAGTATTAGTGAGAAAAGAAGGGTCAACCCAACAAAGTGATCTGGCATCGAGTGACACCCATTCCTATAATGTGTATAAAATGTTTTGCCAGCTTTTAAGTAGTTAAAAGATTGCTTACGTATCTACAACAAAGCTGTAGCATTTTTTTTTCATGCACGCATGTGCACACACACATTCCAGGTAGCATTTAGGTTTCCTTCTTATTCTCCTGGAAGAGACGTCTTACTTCTTTCTCTCTGATCTGCTGGCAGACCAAGCACAGGCTAGCTTTGGTTCTTTTTTGCTGGTATAACAGCGTATCAGAAAAGCTATTTCTTTCCTTGTTGCACCAACTCACAATCCAGAGCCAAGCAACAAATTTACCTTCTTCTGGATTAAAAAAAGAAACCGAACAAAATTCACAATAAAAACAACTAAACCACCCACAAACCACAGCCCTAGACAGGGATTTTACAGAGCAAAAGACATGCAAGACAGAACTATGGTGTGCTGTAGTCTATTAGGGTCTTACTGTGAAAAGAACACCACCACAGACTCAAGGAAGTGGAAGAAAAAAACACATGCGGAGAAGGGAGGACAAAGCATTCTCAGAAAGATTTTCAAAGATAAGAGGACAGACATAACTGGTTGATTCAGTGGCACTTAGGTTATCTTCTCTGAGAATCATACTGAACAAACCTGCTCTCTTCCAGACTTGTAAACTCCCTAACAAAAAGTAGGGCAGTATTCACAGCATTTCACTTAAAGACGACTACCAAATTTTTTTCACAAAGATACAGAATACTTTTCTCTTACCAGTTTGCACAGTGACTGCCCCAAGTCAGAGCTGTGTTTAAAATACTGACAGAGTGACTCATTTATGGATTATAATGGACTTTATGTTGCCAGAAATGATCTTGAGCATACAAGGAAAATAAAACTATACCTACCACAATAAATCACTTAGAACTTACTGACTCAATGAATGCCAAAGTAATCAAATAACATTTTTTCAATCTGCTTAATTGAAAGTGAATTTCCAGACAATAAAAGCTTCCTTTCTTTTTAATTTCAGGTTGCAGATAAAAGCCAATATGAGGATGATGCAGTTATCCAACAATGAGCTACCAGGAAATTAAGAATTATGATTACATTTAATAGAAATGCAAACAGAACTGGATCCATGGGCACTATAGTGCTTTGTTTATTGCTTGGGATCACTGAAGGTTAAATCAATTAGAAGCATGTCATTTTTGTGGAGAAATATATAGGGAAGAAGTTGGGAAGTAAAAATGAAATGGCTAAGTATGGTGAAGGAAGAGGCAGGAAGTGCCAAAGTAAGTAGGGCTTAGAAGTGACTGCATGTACTAGAACAGACCCACCTGCTTCATTTAAGAACTGGTAGGAAGCCCAAATCCTGCATTACCTCAGAAACCATGGGTCATATTTTTCTAATAACAAAGCAGCATCTGTGTCTGTGAAAGTGGGCCTGAAAGCTCCATAACCTCTGCAAAAATTTGAGCACCTAGTCTGGGCTGAGATTTCCTATGGCAACACACAAGGCAGCAGCCCGTATGTGACCAGAGATGAAAACCCACCCGCAGAGATCAGATGTTGCCTTTCATACATGGCCCAGATCTCTTCTTTCACATCCCGCTCCAACCTTCTCCCCCCGTCTTCTCAGGGGAGGTAACAGAACAAGTTGTATCCATGCAGGAGATGGGGAAAGAACCATGAGAAAAGGTGGTTTGAGAAACGGAACGGACATGTGTGGAAAATACAGAAGCAGAACAGGTTGAAAGTTTAACCTAATTTTAGCATTTAAGGACATGTATTTCCTTATTTAATGAACCTGGCCCTGCCTGCTGGAGTAGGATTTTCTCTAGCAAGAACAAAGAAACCAGAAGACTCTTCTGAGAGCTGCAAGAGGGCAAGCAGGACACCTGTGGCATGTGCAGTTATACCGTTATTTCTTGAAATGCAAGCTATATGAAGTGTTTTGCTGCACTTCTGGTCTATAGTGCATGAGGTTTTAAGATAACTTCATATTTTTTAGGACTTGGGGAGATACTCTCATGGGGCAAAAACTATTCATACTGAGAAGGTTTTTTGCTCCTTCTAGATACTTAGTGTGATGTCCAGCTGATTGTGTCCTGCTCCCAGCAGTGACTGCATCTCATGTAGCACATGGTGATCGAAAATTGGATGAGTCTTACAAATGTTCTTGAGGATATTTTTATTATATCTAAAAATATATCTATCAATTATTTACCCACATGGTAAGTAAGAACACTCCATACTCAACATGTTTTAGGTGAGGGAAAGACATCCATCCCCACTCCTATGTAAAAGGCGGTTGAGCTCCTGCATCATAGACAAAGGTCAGGTCAGCTTTCAATAGAGACACAATAAATGCATCTTCTGGATTGAATTCTTGAGTTCCGAAGGATGTGCTGCATTCAGGCAAGCTTACAATTCTTATGCACAGATTGATGTAGGCAGAGTTCATTTTCAAAAGTACTTCTACATTAAATGTCTACTTTATAGTTGTCCATGTAAATAATTAGATATTCATAGATGTTGGATACTTGCAGGCAGTAGATAAGCAAAAGTACATGTAGTGCCACAAGCTTTATTGAATTACTAGAAAATTCTTAAATACATTAACCACATACTGCTATGAAATATTTAACATCAATTCTAATGAGTGTTTTAATCCCATGAACGATTAAATTAATTCTTATGCAGTATTAATTGTTCAAACCAGGGGCTTTCAATTAATTACTGTAAAAGGTCACTTTCTAGCAAGATGCAGGCTGTTAACAGGCAACACAAAAAGAGCAGCTGCAGTTCTACTTTTTATTTGCAAGAGCCAAGTTGGTCCTCCAGGGAAGAAACCAGCTACAAGAGCTTGAGGATGTAAAAGCACCATGCTGTTCACAGAAGCATTCCTCCTAATTTACCCATACATCCCAATACTTAGAAGAGTCAATCAAATCAGCCTCTCTTGAACAAAAGCAAAGTCCAGGGCACATAGCCAGGAACGTAATTTCAGCAAGTAACATATTCATGTCTTGGACACTTCGTATTAGACTGCTTTTCTTTGATCTTTTGACATTAGGGGTTCTGCACACTCTGCTAGGATGATTTAGTCAAATACTAATTTCTCCAACAACTTTTCTTATTTGTAGGCCTTACAAAGCAACTGTACCCTTCTGACTATTTAGAAACAAACAAACAAAAAAGTGCTTTATTCTTTACATATATTCTCTTCAAAAAAATGGGAGGACACATTTGGTATTACCTAGGATACCACTGCTGGAGTACTTTCATGTAGCTTTGTACATGTTCCAGCTACACAACACATTCAGATTTCCTAGGCAATTAGTTAATGTCCATGTTTTGTTGAAGATAGTTTTAAGATAACGTAATAGTACATAGATAAATTAATTCTACTCAAAAAAAGGTAAACAGTAATTCACATTTCCTAATGTTAACAGTTTTATAGAGATCCTATAATCAGGCTAATGGATAAACAGCCTGCAAAGAGTAATATGCACATCTTATGGGATTTGAAGCAGAGGGTAAAAGATTTGTTTAAATTATGAGACTTGAATTTTATTAATGTTGTTGCCAAAAGTAGATAAGACATTCATAAGACATCACTGAGCTTTGATCTACTGTACGTTAAAAGCAGTGTTTCAGAAATCTAATTTTGCAGACCATCAGATACACTATGTCCTAGGTTATTTTTCCATCTATGTTTTAAAAAGCATAAAAAAATACAAGATGAGATAAGCAGAAATTAGTAAAAATATTTTTCATCCATCAACACAGCATTGGATAGTAATATCGAAGAAATTAGGCACCAAATACACAAACATCTGGTGCATTTTAAAAGGCTTCTGGCAGTAACCTGTCACCATCTATTCTCCTCCTCTTAAAATTTCACTAAAAAGTCATTAAAATAATATTCAACACATGATGTTTAAAGAGAACATAGCCTGACTTAGTTACCTGAAAAAACTCAGCATTTTCTTACTTGCGTTGATATTACAAGGGTCTGACAATCTAGGTGACTTTGAACACATTTTGTGTTCCTGTTGCACATGAGAACACAAATAGGTTAAAGACTCAATGCCTGATTTCACTTTCTAGCATCAGAAGCTTTAGACCAACATTTTGACGTGCACAGTTTTTCATAACTGACAAAAGTTAATGGTTTCACAGATATTTAAGTACTTCTAACAAGAAAATATTGTTCAGATGTACCATGGCTTGATAACTAACCAGATAAGGAAATAAAGTACACTGAAAGAGAAAACACTGAGGAGAAATAAAGTCTAACTTACAACACTGGGAGGCAGCACTGGGCAATGGTTTCTTCTGGACTTCCTCCTGAAAGGAATACTACAGGATGGGGGGGTGGAGGGAAAAAAAAGAAGTAACACAGACCAATAAGAAAGTAAATGGCAACTTAACGAAACAGCTTTCAGAGTACAGCATGCCACACATAACAGAAAAGCAACATCCCTGGTAGTTTCAAAGCATTAAATATTCTCCTTAATACCCATATTCAAACACACTCCCAGAAATCTCCTCTTTTTTCATGCCAAAACCAGGTGTTAAAAAGCACACAGCTGGTTAAGGTGCAGTTTGCTTTTCTACAAGCACAGGCCCTGTTCTCAGTTGTAAAACCTCAAATTAGACATCTAAAAGATCTGATTCTTCACACACAATGTCACTGTGATGGAGAGCTCAGAACTGAATATAAGCCTGTTTATGTTTAGACACTCAAGCATGGCTTCAACAGTTCAAAAATCATGCGAGGTCACGGCAGCACTGCAATGGGGGATTGAAGTGGTTAGACAATTAGTGTGCCCAGCAGGGCAGCAACACAATGTTTGCAACACTTACAAACTCTCCTGTGATCCACTGCACATCCAAAGTGAAGAATTTTTCATCTCATTTAATACTAAATTAGAGAACATAAGAGATATTTCAATTAGCCGACTTGGACTTTTTACAAAGCTGTTGGTTACAGCATCAAAGCATTCCCTAGGGAAATGCCAGTGGTTTTATTTTGTAATTCTCCTCTGTCTTGTATTACACAGAGATATGAGAAAATTAGACTGTTGTCACTATTTTGCTCAATTGTCCTTTGCTAGGAAAAAACCCAGATCTGATGACAAAGGAAGTGGCAACCTTAGCAACCTGGTGCTGCAATCTGTGCAAAAGGGAGCCACCAGACAGCCTCTCCTTGGATTTGGTACGGATTAATGACCCGTTCATTACATGGAAGGTGACAACCTTCAGACTTCTGCTGTGACTATCTTCTGATCTGTGCTATTTAAAACGCACAAGTCATCCTGAAAGGTGGTTAGTCTTCCCATCAGCAAACTGCCAACTCACTGAGTTCATCAGAATCATGAAAACAAGAGCTGCTGGATCTCACAGCACTGACTGGTTGACAAAGTGGTGAAAGGAATTCTGTTGATGAGCAATTTCAGCAGCACAGAGCAGCAATGGGTTCTGAATTATTATACTTAGATATCAAAAAATGGCAGTAGTTTGTTCTTTTCAAAGCATCAGCCCAACAGCTATCAGCAGTACCAAAAAGAAAACTGAAGATTAAGTGTTTTGTAGGAATAAAGACTGGAAAGCGTTTTTATGACACCACATAAACTCCAAATGAACCTGCTTCTTAAATACTGCTGTGCAGATTTAGTCTGTTCATCCATTGTCTCAGAGACAGCTAAACTTAACACACAGAAAAGATGATAAAGACACAAAGTTGTCCTGTATTAAATACCAGTATGCAGACTAGGACTCTGCAGCCCAAAAGCCACGCAAGAAGGTGAGGTCTGTAAAGCTGAGTGGCACAGAGTGGGTGAATGAGGATCAGTCATTCAATTTCTTCAAATTAACCTGCCTCCAGCTGGTTTCACAACATAGGGTTTGTTTGCTCAGAGCAAATAAGATATTTCTTCAGGCAATGCACAATTAAGGCACTGAATTCCTTTGCTACAACATAACTGACCTAGGTGCGTTCAAAAGGCAACTGACATCCACAGAAGAAAAATCCACCGAGTATTGTTAAACACAAAGATACTGCCTCTGGTCCTGGAAGTTCCTGACCTACAAGTAGCTGCAAATTAGGGGAATATGCAAGGAAGATATCATCCCCACTATGAGTCACTGTCAAACATGGGACAAGATGAACCTTAGGTCAGACCCTGCACAGGTGTCTTACATTTTTTTTTATTTTCTCACTGGTGACGGGGTAACATCCATAATAAATTTGAGATCATTAGGTCATAAATCAGAGGCATGATTTTGTTACTAGTATTGGATAAAAGCATGCACTTAGCATGCAGATGGATGGCACTCCAGGGAAAGCGGAGTCTCACCAAGCTCAGGATATCTTTCACTAAGTACCAGTTCAGTGAAGCACTAGAGGGCACCTATGCTTCACTGAAGTACCTGGCACAGACTGCTGCTACAGTCCACAGGAGCAGGGAGGTACCACAGCAGTATCACTGACAGGCCAAACCACAGATTGAGCTTTTTGTCAACTCCAAGAGGTTCTCAAACTTCGAGGAAGGCAAGAGAGGTTGCCTCAAGCAGTTATGTTTTTATCCACTCAAATATTGGTCTGTTCTCAGTCAAAAAGAAAACCCATCTTATTTTTCTTCAAACCAAATGACTCTCATAAGGAGCAGAAAAGAATCAATGAAAGATCCCAGAAAAAAAACCTTCCTAAAGTCACAGGCAGAACATTTTGCAAGTTATCTTGCTATGAAAAAAGACCTATCAAGAGTTTAAGCAAGCACTATGTTCCTACTCAATGACGTTGGCATTGACATGTGAGTGGTTTGTTGTTTTTTTTTAATGCTAAACTTCTGGTACAAGCATTAATATGTCCAATCTTATTTTGGAAACATTTTGGAAACAGTATGAACTGTAAAGAAAAGTCTTCATTACGTAACAACCTCTCAAAACAAAAAAGTAACTTTTAGTTTATAGCTGTTTAGCCAAGCACACACTAGAAAAAACAGGAAACCAAAGCCATAGCTGGCAGGTATTGCAATACAAGATTCATATAAACTGAGCCATTAACAGCTGGATTAGGATAAAAGCTAACAGCTCCAACAGTCCTCAGTTCCAAAAAAGATTCAGTATCTTGCTTTGCCTTCTTCCCAGAAACAGCCAACTGAAAAAATGTCCTTTTCGACTTGATTTCACAAATGAAGAGAATCTACTACAGCTTGTCAAAAGCAGTTTCCTCCTCTTCTGAGGTAAAGCATGGTATTACCTTTCCTCTGAGTGTATGCACATCAGTAAAACAGTTCTGACTATTCAAGCATTTCCAGCATGCGGAAGAATGTTCCTCTCCTTAACACTAACAGTACACTTAGAACAGTTCTGTAAACAGTTCATGGAAGACTTGTAAATGATGAACATTTACTAGTTACCTCAATGACAGGTGTCCAACACAAAGAATAAAAGCAAGTTACAGCATTCAGGGCTACATTCATTTTTCAGTTTAGATATTTACCTCATCATCTCCAAGTGAATTTATTTGTTCTAATTTTCTGGTCCAGTATCTGGCCTCTTCTTCAGGGATATCTATACCAAAAGAGTAAGTCACACCACCTTATTAACCAGATAAATTTGCATTTATCATCCGTAGCATTAAAACAGGGAGGGTATTTCAAGACCACACCACAAAAAAACACACGTAAGTTTGAAGTAGAAGGACTGTCTTATGTTAGCACTCAGATGGAAAATAAACATTGTAAATAGTAACACAGTTCAAGGGTTTACATTGCTTTGTTGTTTAAAGCTGATTAACCAAATTCACACTGAAAGAGTAAGACAGACTGGTTCAGGTTTAATTCAAGTATTAGTTTTATGAAGAGCCATTTCACAATTATATTAATACACTTGCTATATGCTTGATAACACATAGCAAGAACAAGAGCCTCTTCTGGAGGCTTTTAGAACCTCGGTAGAACAAGGGCTGCCTTTGAATAGCACATCTTTCTTACATACCTGGCGTAACACAAATTAAATACCAAAAAAGAAATAGTCTCTTTTTTTCCTTTGCAGGCAATAAGCCGAATCTTTTGAGGTAATGAACAGTTTTATAGGCAGTCATATTCACATGAGAGCACGTTCCTATTTTTGCACCACACTGCAACTTCATTGTGAAATGAATCACAACACCACTTTTACCTTCCAGAAGATTTACCAGGTTGATGACTGACAGCAAGTAGCAAGCATTATCACCTTTATTTTGGCAATTATTTTCTATTTCACACTTTGAAGTAATATAATGTCCTAATGGTTTGAAAGGAACACAGACTTCTGCCACTCAAAATTTCATCTCTCAAAGTGCACCCTTAGAGGTGTGGATGAACTGCTGTGGAAAGCTTAACAGAGGCAAGTTAGGTACAAACCATGCTTACGGAATTGAGCAAGAGGTGCACAGCACTAAAGGAAATAACCCACTGAACGAAAAAGCATCAGTCAGGCTCTCAATACAGGAGAATTAGGTAAATTATTTGGGGATGGGGGCATGTAAAATCATGGGAAAGAGGGGGAAAAAAATTGGGGGGGGGGTTGGTGTTTTGTTTTTTTTTTTTAATCACTCATCATCCCTCTGACTGTAATGACTTCTGAAATTTAGCTATTCATGGCCCGAAACTGCATCACGCAGAAACTTCAGAGCTCACACTGGAAGGAAGTGGAGGCACTGCTCCAGCTAGAAACCACCAACCCTGCAAGCTGACCAATGAGTATAATACCAGTTCAGCTAGTTTTCCCATCTCTTGTAACTCTTCGCGCTCTCAAGTGCCTCATTAGAAGGCAAGAAGTTTACATCTAACAAGTTTGTTTTCCCGCAATGAACTGTACCCCATGAACACAGCCACAATGATATGCTAAGCTATGTGCTGGCAAGAGTGGGAGAAGTAGGCTGGGATGGTCTTCTGATGAAAAGGTGTTCTGAAAGTTACATCCACTCTCGTTCCTGACAGAAACAAGACCTATGATGCTTTCAGAAAGAACCAAATATTGCTTTCTTATACTGAAAGGGGATATCTGTCCTACATGTGCCCTCTCTCAGCCACACAAACCATCATCTTATGAAGCCAGTGACCCCAAAACATCTGGACATAATAGTGGCCAGTGTACTAGAACATGAACCACTTTCAACAAGAACAAGGAACATACCAGATTTAGTGGAATTTGAAGTTTCAGAAGTAAGTATTTCCTTGGACTACGAATTAATGTCTACACCTTTGTAACAAAAAAACCACTGTATTTTTATGCAGCTGGTCTCACCCAGACAAAGGGGATAAAACAGGCCCCACTTGAGAAAGTTTTAGGGAACTGGAAACTTAGTACCTGGCTCTAGAAAACCTGCATTAAGTAGAAAAAAGACAACCTATTTCTCCTCGCTTGGAGAAAGACCACAGTAATTTATTTTAACCATAATACATAGAGCTAGTTGCTCTTTCAGTACATTGCTTTGTTGTTACATGCTATTAGAAAACAAGGTAAGAGAAATATCAGAGAGTCTTCCATAATTGCAGGAGTTGTAGAAAAACATACATGTTTTTGATCATCAGGGCTGTGGATCACAGCTGCACAGATTTATTAGATTAGATCTGCACAAATTGGGGATAGCAAACAAAGGAAATCTGTACTGAATTGATCTCGAAAGAAGACATCAATTAACTGAAGGGTTATCAGCATACAACCTGGTAAGATTTAGGAGGACAAACTCCAACAAGGACCTGAAGCAATCCAAACCTCAAAGCAAAGCCTATGGAATTTTGTCTTTGAAAGTCATTGCTTCTGTGAAAGATGAAGAAAAACTCATGAGCTGAGAACTAAAGGTTAGAGTCAAAACAACTCAATTCTGGAGCCTGAAATCAAGACCAAAAACATCTAGGAGGGATGAAGCAATGGATTACCATTAACACTGCAGAAACTGCAGTTGTCTCAGGGTAGGCTTCAATGCTTTCCCATAGACCATGGTCTAGTAGCATGCCCAGGCATCAAGGAGCACCATGTGTCTCTTGGATTTCTTGTCCCTATCTTGTATCCAAGGTGCCCCTTTCATAAACGGAGCTAACAGATTTTTAGCTGCTATTCTATTGAAACACCTTCACAGTGTTTCACACAAGTCAGACATAAAAATCCGCTACTGTCTAGATACTGGCTGTTTTAAGGACATCTTCTTGATCTTAGAGAAACTCTTGTCATCAATGCCAGCAGCAGTACAGTTACTGCGCAGCAAACATTAAACATGAAGCAACAGGCCTATCAACTTAAATCAAGATACCTGCTCAGATGAAATGTCCACTGAAACAGAATTCTCAATTTTTTGAGGAAGCAGTTTATAACTATTGCTTAGTTTCACCATGTATTTGTGTCTTGTCTCAGCTGTTTGTTGAAGCTGGTTCTTTCAAATGCAGGGAATGGAACTCTCTAGTGCAGAGATCAGAGACTGACTGCTTGCAAGGCCACGTCCACTGGCCAATTCCTACATCACTGCTCAGCTTTGATTACAAGCGCAAGTTACTCCACTACATTAACTTTTGCTTACAAGATAAAAAGCTGAACTAGTCCAAACAGAGGCCAACTGATGCCAGCTCAGGACTCCATTGACATCATGCTTGGTAAATAAGAGGAGCAAGACCATATGTCAGTGAAACAAAACTGCTGAACAAGAACTGAGAGATGGACAGATACGTTCACTAGCTTTTGAGGGTTCTTAATTAGAAATGTTGCAAGCTTTACTGTCCTTGCTCCTACTGCTGTCTCCAGCTGGAAGCTGAAGCCCCTGTCTTCTCTGGACTCCTGGTGTCAGGGAGCAATGCGGTCTGGTTGCTCCCTAACGGAAGAGAGGCAAGGGAGATCCCATGTCTGGCAGGGCAAGGGACTTGCCAGCCAGGGCCCTGTCCTATAGCACTTGAGCAAGGTGAGCAGGGCAGGCCCAGAGATCACAGCTGGGTTCAACCAGGAGCTCAGATAGGCAAGCAGGTCCATGGTGACAAGGCAGGTCTAACATCAGGCCAGGAAGTAAGTCCACACGTGGGTTTGGACCTATGAGGTCCGTAAGCAGGCACAGACATGGTTATGGTTGAGGGGGGGGATCAGTAACTCCCACAGCATCACTCAGGAGTGAAAGCTTCAGAGATGAGCTGAAGAGGGACTCGCAGGCCCAAGAGCATGGGCTGTGGGTGGAGGTCCCAGGTGAGGCTGCTCAGAGCAATTAAGACTTATCAGCACACCCAAGGCCCTGACACCTAGATGCACTGCACTGCCACAGAAACGGGGACACAGCAGTACAGAGACTTATCAGACTGAGGAAGGAATTAGAGGAGAATTTGCTGCATCTATACAGACCACTTCACTCACAGTTAGACCCTCTCAGGTACCTAAAGATGACAGTATTCCTTCTTAGAGATTTCTAGCTTGGCAGTAACCAGGAGTTTCAGCCCTAAAGCTTTTCTTCACCTTAGGCTTGGTGGCCCTTGCTGTATTCCTTGCACATCAACTTGTGCAACCTGAGTTTTTCCCCAGTAGCAAGTCCTGGGCTGGGGCATACCCCAGGTCAGCATGAGTGAGAACAAGTTTTGGAAGTAAAAGTGATACCCCCTTTCTCCCCACTTTCCTACAAGCCTTCACCTGGCTTCCTCTCTTCCCAGCCCCAATTTCTTCCCTTTCCAGAGGTACAGGAATCTTCACAAGTTCTCACTGAAATAACTTTGCAGAGCTGTTATTTCTCTCTCTGTACAGTTCCCAAGACAATAAAACAACAAAGCACATTTACTCCACCTGATGGCTGGACTCAGATCAGCATGCTCCCAGATTGGGAGTGGTGAGAACACTAAAAGCATTTTCACTCCAATTATCTGCTATAAACAGCCTGGCACAGACACAAATTGCTATCGGTTGGGAGCCAAAAGCATTTCTGAGTACTCCAGCTTGTGTAGAGGATGCCACATAGCCACTGCACTTCTAAAAACAGGGGACAAAGTAAAATTGCTTTTAAACAGCACAAGTTTACAATTGAAAAGCAGCACCTTGGAAAGTCTGTGCCAGCACACATTCACTACATCAAGATAACAACAGCAAGACTGTCTTCTCCCTACCAGCAAATTTTCTAAACCGAGAAGAAAAGCTGCCTCTCTACCTTGATATGTCTGCCTTGTTCCTGAGAAGAAACAGGTATTGTCAATGGAGAAAGCTGCTCCAGCTTGTCTTCACTAACAACCACTTCCTCCCACCAAGGCGGCAGCTTATTGCCATTTTTAAAAGACTACCAAGCATGACAATGTTTTGCACCCTAGGGGTTAATATCAACTCTCACTAACACTTCACATTTCAAATGCTCATTTTTGCTGCACTTTTATAGAAAAGGATTTTCAGTCATTCTGTTTCTGCAAGATTGAACATTTAAGAACATAGGGCTCACAAAAAACGTTAGATGACAGTCTTGTCCCCAGCGCTGCAGTCCATCACACACAGATGCTCACTGCAGAAAGGCTCAGAGGTCTGCTCTCTCCCATGTACACCACAGGCTAATGTCACACGAATAACGCTACTGAACACAAAGCAAGAGCTGCATCTGGAACATGCAATGGGACACACTGAGGAAGTATCAAGGCCACCGTAGACGTTCTTTGTCCCATTAGAAATCTGGGCATTAACAAATGGATGACCTCAGGAAAGGTTATTTTATATCACCAGGAGCAGAGGCTACAGCTCTCACCTGCCTCTGTTAGGAAATTGCTTCCCAACTCCAAGCCTGGTAAACACTTAAAAACAACTTTGTATTTTTTTTTGGGGGGGGGGGGGGGGGAAACACACCACCAAAAAAAACTCTAAGTTGCCTTCATCACGTATTACCACTAGCAGCATCAGCATGTTTTGCATTTATTGCAGCTTTAGCTGTTGCCAGTCTCCAGAGTACCAGGAGAAGACATACCAGGGAGGAAGAATCCTAAATATATCAGGTGGAAGCAGAGGCAGCAAACTAATCCAGGATAAATATAGTGCAAACAACAAGCCAGTTTCTAAACCTCTTTGCATATGCAATCATGTTTTACACCAAGGACTTCAGCTTTTCTTGTTTTAAGATTTGTTTATTTTCTCTTACAATCCATTAGAAATGTCTCAAGCTCCACCTAACTACAATGGAACATTTTAAATACACAGACCGAGTAACCTGGGGTACTGCATCCATGTGTACCGTCTAACACTAAATGAAACTGAGCAGCCAGAAGTGACAGAAAAAGCACAGAAGCACAGCCACATAGAAGAACACACTATTTTGTTAAAGCTGCTGTCCCAGACAGCCGTATTTTACCAGACTTGGAAAGCAGCACATGCTGTACATATGTACACATATCGTTCCAGTTCTCATGTATCTACAATAGCCAGGAGATCTTCACCTGGGAAACAAAACGTGATACACAATGTTCCTAAATGTCACTGCAAACATGGTGTTATTAAAACATTACCTCTACAGCAACAGAGCTGCTGACTTAAGAACTTCTACAGCAAATCAATGATCCATTTAGTTCTCTGCATAGGTTTAAAGCAGCAGTTCTGAGCTCATATGACAACACGGTCTTAACACGTGGGGCACTACAAGTCCCTACAGCTACCCTTCACTTAGAGGGACCTGCAAATGCACTGGGAGAGATACAGAGGCAGTGCTGTGAGCCAAGCTACCTCCACGCATCCCTCCAAGTCTCACAGTACTGCAAGGGCAGGGAGATGGAGCCTAATCCACCTTGCAGGGTCCTTCTCTATCCTAGAGGTGACAGCAGGAGAAGTTCAGTCATGGTGTGAAGCGAAGCACAGCTAGAGAAGGTGATATGGGTAGATGCTAGCTCCTAGAGAAATATCCCACACTTGTGGTGCCTACCACTTTTCAGCCTGCTTCTGACCTTACCGTGGCAGGACAGACTGAAAATGGAGAAGATCCAAGAAAAACTGCAGCACTCTTCAAGTGAAGAGCAGCAGAATCCTTGAAAGAGCTAACTGATGCACCCATTTTTCCTGGACATTATGAAATACTGGACAGGGAGACAACTTCTCACACACTAAAATAAAAACCCTTCAATACAGCAGTGGAGAGTTCCTGTTATTTCAGTATTTGGCATAGGAAGCAAAGGAATAAGTAATAGATGTGCTTTAAATGATCAATTGTGTTAGAAACAGAAGAGTCACAAAAAGCTTGTTATTCACTTAATGTTTTCAGTTTTGTGCAGGAAATCCTATCTCTCAGAATTCTATATTCTGTAGAACATCATATGTTTTAAAATAGTAGTTAAAAAAACAAACCAACAACCAAAAAAAAAAACCACCCCAAGAGAGTCCTGTGTTTTAAGCATAGTAGTAGGGAGAAAACACACTATTATCTGAAATATTTCTTATTTTTTAAATCCAGGTGCTTTAACACATAATGGTTTAAAGGGAGTCTGTTTTCCTATACTTGAGAAAAAAAAAAAATTAAAAAAAAAATCACAAAATGTAATGCAATCCAAAACATGAACTGCAGAAGAAAGCAAATTCCCTTTTGGATACTCTCTGAATATATAGAACTTCATTTTGTTTTAAAGCAGAGACAGTGAAGCACTATGTCAGAATGAATTTAGATGCAAAGGTAGCAGCTACAAGCCTTGCCTTCAGATACGTTTGCTGTGGTCTCTCTCTCCCAAAAGCCTAAACATTGCCCCAATGAACTAATGTTTCATCTCACACGGAAATCAAGTGAGTTGTTCCTCTTCTTACATAACAAGCAATTTAAGTAATAAACTTCCCACTGACAGGGTGACAGCAGTGAATCAGGACATTTTCAGGAGGAAGAGGGATGGCTCCAGACCAACGTTAAGACAGCTTAGTTGTCAAGAGAGCTGAGATGTCAGATACCTCTTCCCCTTTACACACTGAACTGTCATTAAAAAGTATTGCCTATTACATCGATAAAACACTGCGCTCACTCCGAATTGCACCATCCAGACTCAAAACAGTATATGCACTAAAAACAGTACACCCAGCTTAGCTCCCAGAGCACAAGATATAAGTTATATCTACTTTAGTGCTGCAGGGCCAAAGCCTGCATCCTCCCTTGCACAGGAAGGGAAGTATGAGACTGATAGATGACCTAACTTTTTTTCCACAACAGATGGCCAATCCTGACAGTTGCTGGCCAAATGCCAGTGGGTGCACAAATGCTCCACCAGTGCTTAGAGCATGATACAATGCTCACACTGCCAGGGGCTTGGCAGCAAAAAACAAGCAACAGGCAGAAGGGGAGAGATGAGCCTTGCAATGACACACAACTTTGAAACACTTCAATGGCCAATGCAGAAAAAAAATAGCAGGAACCCCAAAAACATAATCACTGTTCATGGTCCCAAAAGTCAGCTAAGAGCTGTAAAGAGAAGCTATGTAAGCCTTGGATGCATCCTGGCTAAGGCCTTACTTCTGGGGTTTATTTGTTTTGTTTTTAAAGTAAAATAAAACTAAACCCCACAAACACACAACTTTACTTGAGATTGGTTTGCTCCCGTTAGCTACTTTTCCACATTCTGTACTTTTCAACCACAAGTAATTGCCAGAAAGGCAGTTCTTATAACACCAAGTTATTTATATACTCTGCTAATGATAATGTTCAGGAGCACTGAGCATTAATGTTTCACTCACTGAACTGCATGCTTCTACCAGGGTTTAAGTGCACCTACCACAGAACAGCTCTAACAACGCACTTGACCTCTTCTAGAGCCAAATTTGTCTAGATACAAAGAAAGTAATGATCCCTGCTCAGGAACAAAATGTCTGACTGCACAATCCTGAAATAGCATTAATAGTTTCTTAAACTGCTGCTAGTCTAAATATTCTAGCACTCGGAGACCTTCAAATCTTCCCTATTTATTCTGATCTTGTTAGAAAGAAGCCAAATAAGAAAAGAACACCAGCAATTTGATCTGCACTGAGCTGTTTTAACTGAACTGAGAATGAGCACAACTTCATTATAAAACTCAAGTTGCTCCCCAACACTTTCTTTCCGTCAGCACACTGGGTAAACTACTGAAATGCACTCACCAAAAGGTAATTCAAATCTTGTGTCCAGCAAAATTTTATGAGGAGTTGGGTTTTTGGTTCCACAGATTTCATCATGTTTCATTACAACTTCTGCCTCCAGCGTAGACCACTCCCCAGGACCCTCCTGTGAATCACAAGCCACAGGTGAAGTTTCAAGTCTGGCAGGTCCTTATTCAGCGACTCTCACCCATTTGCTAATGTAAAAGACTCCAGGAAGAGCCTAACAGTGTTATCATGGCCTGGTACCTGATTTTAACATCAAATGACATCTATTCAGCACATGCTGGCAGCTGTTCTTCCAAATCTCAAAGGCTTTTACCAAGACAAGCAGCAAACACCTCCTAGCAGAACTACTGCCTTCTCAGTAGAACTGCAAAAGTAAGCCCTCAAAAGGCATGCACCAAGGAGTACCTGGACAGCCAGAGGAACTGAGCACCAGCTAGACTTTATGGCCACACTGCTGAGCATCCCCACTCTTTCTGTTTTATGGAAAATATAAGCTCGCTCTCTCTCCCTGCTCAAATTCCATAATCTTTTAAATAAATGCCCTGAAATTTGAGGCAAAAAACCAAGCATGTCCTGCTTAAGCTACAAGAACTGCCAAATTCAGTAATTAGGGCAGTTACAGACATTAGCACATCCCAGTTCCTACTTTTTTCAATTCATATTAGAACTACTAGACACCCTCTAACATTGCAACCAGAAACTTTTAAGATGACATAGACATGCTCTGGGTCTACCTCAAAGGCCAGCTTGTATATTATGAGGGCACTCTCTGTCTTTAGAAGGAACTCATAAAAATTGGAGCACCAGACTAAACAGTCAGTCATTAAAACTTCAGACACTTGTCAATTCTACATGTTCCTTAACAGATTAAGCCCTGTTTTTTGAGTCTATGTGAGTGAAATGAGACCAAAGACCCCTACATAAGCTCAGTTTTGGTCTCACTGTTGGCAGCCTCCTTCAAAAACAAAAACAACAAAACAGCTCTCTCCCCTCAACCAGCCCTCCTGACTTTGCAAGTGGAACTTTTGCTGAAGGCTGCACCAGGCCAGGTTTGTAACATGTTAATTATCAACATTGGCACTACCAAAATAAAGCTTCTGTGTCAGCTTAACCTCATCAGATTGGTGAATGGCCTTCAGAGCAATCCACACGGTCCCAACCAGAGTGTCCCAGATCAGTCCTTTGTTCCATACTTCAACAATTAGGCCCAGGTCCAGCCGACTGATCTCACTGCAAGAAAAGAAAAGACAGCACAGGTGAGAAAAAAGCAGAATAGAATCTATTCTGCTTTAGGTTCTGCATTACCACCATGATTATACCAATGAACTCTTTCCAAAGAGTTGCGTCAAGCTACAGAATGCTTCTGGAAGCATGTGGTCAAGGTGGCTCATACCCACAGGGAACACTAGTTTCTAATGACTGATTTCGCACAGTTTAATGCTAACTACACAAAGGTTGCAAACTAAAACCCTGAACTGTGTCATGCATGGACTGCCAGTTGGAAAGTTGTCTTTGAAGCTATGTACACAGGAGGAGGAAGTTTATCTTGGGCCAAAACCTAGAGGTGCGCTGTTCTTTGTCATCAGGCACCCCATTTCTAACAAAGTGTGTGTCACCTTTTCCTTGGCAGCACAGTAACATAAGCGTACTCTGGCAGGTCCAAACATGTCAATACCTGTCTGTAAGCGGAGCTGCCGCGTGCCAAAGTAACAGCCCCAAGCCCAGCATAGCTGCATCAGCAGCACTACCTATTGCTCAGGCCTGCGTTGCACCGCTTCTGCTCCAGCACTAGCTTCTTCCCCTGCGTGACACTACAAGGCCATGTGAATCGCTGGCAGCAAGCGGCAATGCAGCCACACGACCACTGAGTGGCAAGTTCTTGGAATACTTATCTGCGGGTTTTCATGAACATCCTCACTCTCAGTGAGGAAAGGGTGCACCTAAAATTCACTTCTTCCCAATGCTTCATAGTATTTATGCTTCCCTCTTCCATGCTGGTTTATAACATGCCTACTTAAGAACAGCCTAACGCACGCACAGCCTGAATGCTGGTAAAAACAACAAAGTAGAGAAGAACCTGAGCGGTCTGTTGATACACTGTTGAACTGTCTCACACTTATCATGAATAAAGGCTATTGTTCCTACTTCTTTGAGCTTGGGACTTGCCCCTAGTGCAACTGCTAATCCACAAAAGTACATAACTTGTACACAGAGTGCCGCTGCCTGCTGTCCTCCTGTCCAAGTGTATCCAACATTAAGTTTATCCAGGAAATTTAAAAGCACATCAGTTGCTAATTTCTAGAGACTGCCATCACGGCCAAAAAAAAAAGAACTGCCGCAAAGCAGTTCAAGCATCTATTTGAGCTTTGCCCCAGAGACTTCTTATAACTTTAAAAGAGAATATTGCACTTACAAGGTTCAAGATAAACCCTACAGCTACAGCACAACACATTAATATCTATTTTAAATGCAAGTGCTTCTGTTCTTGTTTAAAGACAGAGAAATTGAGGTCAGAAGTGTCCAGTACTTGGGTGACTCAGTCTACATAGTTCAAAATCAAGCTATTACACAGGCTTATTATGAGTTTACTGCTAGCATCTTGAAATTGAGTCTCCAGCTCCCTCTGTTTGGATATGGCTACTGAATACAGCCAAGCTAATAACTAGCCATCACTGCTCTGCCCTCCTACTGCTTGCCTCTTGGAAGATGATATTTGTCTGATTGCACAAACTTGCACTAACAGCAGAAACAGTTGGTTTTCTGCTGGCTGGACTAGTGTGAGGCCAGAAAAGGAAGGGAAGAAATATTTTATTTCCAGGCACTCTGGAAAACCACATTCTTTGCTTCAACATACATTGACAGAGCAAGACATTGATCATAAGACACCAAATGGGCTTCTGTACAGAACTCCACAGGACAGGTCACCAGATAAGAATAATAAAAAAAAAATATTTTCAGTACAGTGGTTTTGATTGCCTTCATGTCTCCCTTTCTCCACCTTCTGGTTAGATGCAGAATGGCTTCAAAGAACAAAAGAGGTGAGACTGGAGTTTGATGTCTCTCCCCCTCCACATACACATTGAATTTAAATGAAAGACATTTCTAACAACTTCAACACCCATTTAATCATCATGTTCTAAACAACGGTTTGCACTTTCAATCAAGAGGTGCTTGCTGCAAATATGCAGTCCTTTTAAAGGTGCTTCAAAATTAGAAGATGTCCCCAAAAAAGACATTAAAGCACTTTACTGGTCTGGTAAATAAGCAAATCTCAAACATCCCCCAAGTCCCAAATTCTGAAGTGTTATGTCTCACAAGGAGTTTGGAAGCAAAAACAACACAAACAGATAGAAAGCATTTTCTTGTTTGTAGTCTCTCCTTCTTCTATGCTTCATAAAAAAGGTAAACACAAACACAGACAGTAAAAGCATCCTTCCCTCAGGGAGAAACTACTGTGTTCAGAAGCCTTTTCCAACTCCAGAAAGAAAAAGAGCAAACCAGTGAATAGCAGTATTGGAATATCAGTGTTATTTCTCCTGGGACAACTTAATGTACACAGGATCATGCAAAACACATTCCCTGCCACGTGTAATATTTTTGTTATAAAGAAACATCAGAAAAACTGTGCTGTTGCCTGGCTAAAGCAGGGACAGTAACAGTAAGGTAGCTCAGCTAATATTCTGCTTTCATGTCCCCTAGCAACTAATTACAGAGCAGCACAGTGACCTTACACAGCAGGCTAGCTAAGCTCCCAGCTGATATCTGAGAGCAGTTCCAGGAGCTGCTTGAGGGAAAGGAGGAGGAGCAACCATGAAAGCCATCATCCAATACAAACAAGTGCCATTCTTAAATCACTGATGAGTTGCCTCCTTTGTAGCTGGCCACATTTAAAGCTAGTTCCTGTCCATGGGTTGAACACAAATCACAGGAAGAATGAGTTTGAAGTTTGGGTATGGGCATGTGATTTGGCAGACAGGTGCAATTCCCTGCCCCAATGTTAATTACCTCAGTCCTGCATGGTTTACGTCAGTGATAGCCACAGCCTCTGTCTGACCAGGAACTGCAGGGTCCAGAAGATGGTGATGCTCAGAAGCACACGTGTTTCACCAAAGGAACACATGACAAGGATAGGCTCCAGACTCTCCATGCAGAAGCACACACCTCATGTGCTGCTCCAAAAGCAGAGTGCCACAAAAAAAGGGGGATGGGAGCACAGCTATGATGGCAACGCTACTGACCCAGGTGAACTCCTCAACCAGAGGCAAAAGTTTCCCACTTGCAGCAGAAAAGAACCAACTGCTGCTGGACTGGTAAGCATACTCACAAAATCCCATGTAGGTCTCTTGCTAGAGATGCTGCGTAAACACCTCAGACCCACTCAAAAAGAGCAGCACTAGCTTTGACTCCACCAGATGAACACAACAACATTCCCCACACAACAGCAGTCCATGCCAAGTTCAGGGAAAAGCACCTGGAGTCCAGGATTTAGTAAATTTAGTTTACTTGGTCTTACAAAACTATGGATACAGAAGCAGATGCAATATATCAATGAGCCATTCATCCATCAGCAAAAAAAAATCCACACCATCCTAAAAGATACCTGGCTATGTGTCAGGACCATGAGTACCAGAGCAAATCAGAGGTGCCAACTGCACCAAAAACCCTGGGAGAGCTTGAACTGGTTCTGCTGCTCATGGCAGGGACTAGCAGCCCCCGAAGCAGGAGCAAGGGAGCTGGAAAACACATTTACAGGCACCAGGGCAATGGCAGAAAACACCAACACACAGATCCTGCACTCAGCTAACCAGGATCAGGCATGTTGAGGCCCTTGAGTGCACTAACAACAGCCCTTAATTGCCCTGGCCAGCCTCACCAGTGGCCTCCACCCACAGCCTCTTCCAGGGGTATGGCCCAGGAGCTCTGTTTAAACTCAGCTATGGGCCTTCAGTCCTTGCCTAAGCTATGTTGTAGGTGTGCTTGTCTCCAGCTTAGCTGCAGCTGTGCCCATGCACCACATCAATCCAGACCCAATCCACAGACTGTCTTCCCAGCTCAACCTCAGACTTGCCTCGTCACGATGGACCTGACCAGCAATTGCTGGACTGTGTCTGACTGTGATTGTTGCTACCAGATACAGCCCAGAGCCTCACTTGCTAACGTGCACTCCCAGCTTGACCTAGGACCTGCCTCATTACTATGAACTTGTCTGATGACCTCACCTCTTAGCAGACACTGGTCTGATCCTCAGGCCTGCCCCACTTGCACTGCTCATGTACTGTGGGACTGGGCTGTGGCTGGTGAGGACCCTGCCCTACCAGCCATCCTACCACACTCTGCTTCTGGTTCCCTGTGCCTGCAGGAGCAGCCGGCCCTCGCTGCGCCCTGACACACAGGTCTAAGCATAGGAATCCAGGCAATCTGGCGCTATTAAAGGACAGAGGCTACTCCAGCAAGTCCGTGGCACCAGCAGAGACAATCTTCCAACACACATTTCCTTCAGCACAGGTAAGTGCATACAACAGAAAAGCAAATGGTTTAGCTTGTCACCAGGCTTGCACATTTTACCTACTTAAGTACTCCAATTCATACAACTCCACATAAACATCAGCACTGTGAAAGGACTCACCCACAAGCATCTCATGGCTGCACAACACCATACTTACAACATGAAGTCCTGCTCCCAGCAGGGCTGGTCACCTCGCACAGCTACCGTCGTGCTCTTCACATTTTGCACTTTCAGGGTAACATACGTATTGAATTTATCTGTGGAATGAGAGGCAAAAAGTTATCTGCTTCAATATGCTCTTTGATCATGTAAGCGTAACATTTCAAGGTTTTCAGTCCATACATTGCAGCCCAGGGGGACCCAAACCAAACCATATGGGAAGACATCACTGGGTTAAGGAGTCAAACATTCAAGATGCTTTTCACCTGCCATCAAATTTTCAGTCACAGGTTTTTAGAAATTCATGTACAGACAGAAAACAGGCAACTAAGCACTTGCAGTAAGTCAGGGACAAAGAAAGTGTGTAAAATCCTGAAGAACATAGACACTTTGTGTGCAAGACACTGCTTACTGAAATGCAGATGAGAGGAAGAATGAGACGGTCCGAAGGATAAAGGCCAACATGCAGACCATGCAGAGCTAATAACAAACTGACATAACATACAAGCAAGGAGGAGTTGGGCTGATCATATCATCTCTTCCATTCTGACCCAACTGCTCTCCTAGTTCCAACCCAGTTTTCCACCCATGAGTTGACAAAGAACTTTATAGACCAGCCAGGGGCAGAAGGAAAATACAGTGAGTTGTGCTGCGTGTGCTAAAACTGACCTATTTTGCTTAAACCAACCGACCTAGAAGAACCAGATTACACTCACATTTTGACAAGACAGGCTTTGTTTAGATGTTTTGGGTTTGCCTTTTTTCTTTTTTTTAAATATGACGAAAAAGCCTAGACCAACTTTTTTTCCTAGTTGCACTCCCTCTTTGCCAATAAAATGAAAAGCAGCCGAGCACAGACACATACAAAGTTTAAATATCACCACCTGAGAATGAACAAAACTCCCTTTTAAGGCAAGTTACCACCTCAGACCTGCCTAGCAATTTCATTAAGCCTGCAACAAGACAGATGTTAAGCAGCAGTGTACAATTTTAATACTTCAGTGTTCCGCTGCATCTGTTCCCAGCACAAAGATAGATCACAGCCCATTTCAATACTGCCAAGATTCACATGCACCATTGCTGTGGGCTACTGTACCATGTCCAGTATCTAGCTTCATATATCCTGTTAGAAAAGCAGGAAAGGGAAACAATGTGATCCAGAAGCTCAGGAAGAAGTGGGAGTCACTCCTATCTAGCTATACCACTTCCATACTCCTGGATCACTGGGCTTATCAGGGAAACCACACACTTCAGGTAAACTGAATGTAGACTACAGGACGAATATTTTGCATCCATGAGGAGGCTTCTTGATTAGAGAAAGGATAAAGTACAAACTATGTCCCTTACAGTGCGGGCACTCATTTCCTTCCCTGGGAATTCAAGGTTGGTGCACACACACTTCTTGACCTGACACAGAGTATGGACAAGGAGACCTGGGAAGCTCTCAGCTATCACCTTAGGACAGCTATACCAAGAGGATAAAACTGAACAATTAGATCATGAATACAGCTGTGCAATTCCTTCGGGTCTAAACACCTGAATAGGTGCCATTCCAGAAGCAAACTGCTTATTCTTTTGTAAACAGTACATCAAATTTCATTCAATAAACATATTTACCTGCTAAGGGAATCCTTGCTGGCTACTGAACCACAGTGAAATAGTTGCCTAGACTGTAAATGCTGCCTGTCACCAGCTGTCTATTTTTATTTCATTATGCAAACACAAAACCTGGCGGACGGGATTTCAATCCCAAGCACAGCCACTATGAACTGCCACATAAAAGAATTAATCACTTCTGCGGTACCATCCAGCAATCCCAACCAGGATTGAGGCAGCACTGAATCCACTGAATCCAGATGGGCTGCACCAGTTCTGCTCAGCAGACATTTTCAGATCTAGTTTTTAACAGGAACAGAGGAAGGATGAGAGGAAAGGGCAGGGTGGGGTGGGAATTGGCAACAGTAAAGGAACATCTTTCCTCACCCATCACCTGTTGAAGTCAGGTGAGCAGGTAGAGGTTTCTCAGCACTGTGACACCAGGTCACATCCTCAAGCCTTCTACTAACTCAGGCTGCCTGGAAGCTCAGGGTAGCTTTTGTTACTCCTAAGGAGTACATGGAGGAGCAGAGAGAAGGTGGATGAGAACTGGAGGGAGCAGCATGAGCAGGAGTGACAGAGCAGCTATCACCAGTGCTGCAAACAAGCAGTAGAGCATGGCTTACCTGGTGGTCCTTGGAGTTTAGCTTTTTTTACTGTAAAGGGAAAAAAGGAAAAGAAAAACAAAGTAGCTGTTAGTGATTTTGTCCTGCTGCAGTTTCATTTGAGTCAAATCATCACAGGGCATCACCTTAACTGGACAACATTCCCCAGCAGGGGCCTGGTAGCTGGCAGTCCACACTCACTTAACAGTTTAACAGATCTGGAGGAAAAACCTCTTCGGTATCCCATCTCACCTCTCTAAATCAATGCATTTAAAAATAATCATAAGATTAATGTTTGGGAAGCAATGTGATATGGCTGATGCAAGGCAATTTCAAAACCAGTCTTTTGCAACCAGAAGTTACAGCTGCTTAGTAAGATGTCATTTCATACCATGTCATTTAAAGTTACAGACACTCTAGAAGAAATATACATTTCTTTAAAAAAAAGAATTTTTCGTTAACAGAGCTGACTTTCAACCACAACTTGAAAACAATCAAGCCTGAATAGTGGCTCTACAGTATGACATCTGTAAATCAAATTAACCCGCTATGCCAAACAAGCAGCAGCCTAAACTCAAATGTCACTTTTCTGAGCTCTACTCTGTTAATTATATGTTAAACATACATTCCATGACAGTATTTATCAAAAAACAATGGTTAGAATCTAGTTCTTATCTCACTGGATGGAGAAGGTCCATGTCTACCTAGGGGAAATTTTGTTTACATTTGTCTTCTGGAAGCTCACATCCTCACTGGTACTGCTAAGTGCAAGCACAAAGAGAAGACATCTCTAGGCACCAGCTAGTTTTCCCAGTGGAAAACTAACACTAAGAAGAAAACGTATTTAACAAGCTAGGAAGCAAGATATACCTGAGAGCAAAAATATTTAAAAACTGGTGCGGTGAAGTTTCCTCCAGAAAACAGAGCACCCAATACTTACTAAAAGCACACAGAGTCTAACTTCTAGAAAAGAACATTAAAAAGTAAAAATAATAAAATGGAAAAATAAAACTAACCGCCCTTACACAGTTACTTGCACAGAGCTGCAATGGCGTGTGATGCTGGAGAACACCTTTGCTATTTGAGAAATTCTCCTTTGAGAGCATTTACAGTCATAGGTGCTGGCATGAAAGAAATGCTGTGGCAGGTATAGTATAAGCCAGAGGCATCTCAAACAGAAGTTAGAAGAGCTGTAGCTTCTACCTACAGTGCCAAGGCCCATGAGCCTTCAGACCCAAAATAAACTAAATCATTTTCTCCCAGGTTCAGGGCCTGAAGCAATCCTGATGATAAACCTAATGGTGGAAGCAAAACATACAATGGTGGGGGCCAGCGGTCCTGCTGACTGAAGATGTAGATTCCTTTTTAATCTCCAGATCAGTCCGTTTAACCCCTGAGAAACAGGCAGGGCAATCTACCCAATTCCTAGGTGCCTTTGGATATGACACAAAAGCAGGAATTTCATTAAATAATGCCCTGGAGTGGGCAGACACCACCTTAACTCTGGTCCTCCCCTCTCCCCACTCCTTTGCAAGAGGCAGGAGACAAAGAAACAAGTGCACGTCCTTGAGGGAAGGAAAAAAGGAGAAAGAGGGCAGAAGATGCTTCAGCTGGTCTCTCTCCATTCATAACAAGCTCCACTACCATTAGCAGGGAAGCAGAGGCAACCCTAGTGTGGAAATTTGGTGTTATTTGTCAAAAACGCAGCCAGAGTGGGCCAATGGCTCCTAGACACAGAGACAAGACGCTGTCCCTGCAGCAAGCGATACGCAAACTAAGAGACAGATGCTGTCTGTACATTGCGGTTTCAACCTCTAAATATTTAGAGGTTCATTTGATGAAAGGCAGCAAACCCTGCTGAAAACAGTGCCCATGTGGGGCTTCAGCAAGAGCTGTCCCTGGGCTCGCAGCAGCAGGGATATCCTGGGGCAGCAGCAAGGCTAAATGAAGATCACAAGCCTGCTATGGACCCACATAACAAAAATGGAGTCTTGTATCTTTAGCATCTACCAGGAATGAACCCCACGTCCCTACACAACCCACATGTAATAAATCACACCTTTAGTGTGATTTACTATCAGGGTTTATAAAATAAGAGCTGGATCACAAACCTGGGAGTCTTATCTCACCAGTAACTCTTTTGCTCCATCTGCAAGTTTACACAGCCTGTTCAAAACGTTCCCATGAAAAATTGCTTGGACATGTTTTTATTTGGTCAGCCCACTGGAAAGCACTTCCTTGGGGTGCATAGAAATCATTGCACAGGTGCAGCTCCCACAACACCTCAGGATCAGGACAGGCTGTGAGACCGCAGGGTTCCCCATACAACAGGGTGAGTGTCTGGGAGTTCAGAGCTGGAAGGAGCCGTTAGACGCTGCCAAGACCCAGCCCGTTCGTCAGCCCAGGGAATTCACAGGTCGGGTGCAACACGCAGAACGGCATGCACCATGCCACTGCCGAAGGACCACAGCTTTGGAAAGGCACAATAGGGTTAGCTTCCCTAGGGAAACTTTTGTACCCACACCTGCTCGTTCTGTCTGGTTAGACCTCCTCTATGCCAAGTGCTCAAGAAAGGACACAAAGGAGTAACCAAGTCCTGAGGAAGCCTGACGCTTTAACAGTTAATTACTCACAGTGTTGCAACAAAGGCTGAAAAGTCATTGCTACTCCAGGGGCAGGAGGACAGCAGGCTGCAATGAAGCCACGTGAAACAGTACTTTCTATAAAATAAAATCTGTATCACAAAAGGAAACCATTCTCTAGTGCACACAGTGACACCAAGTTTTACAGGTACAGGGGCTTCTCTGCTCCCACAAAGTAAAAATGTGAAGACAAAGTCAGTCAAAGGCCTAGATCAGAGATTTCCTGGCTCACTCCCATTTATCCCACAGGCACTTCTGGGCTCTGGAGAAGCCACATTTTTAAACTACCTGGAAATGCTAAATTACATTCAGTTCCAAATGTCTTCTGTCAGCAAACTGGGCAGTACAGAAAGTCCAGCCATTCAGAAGGCAAACATTGGACTACACTGAACTGTAATCCTCCTACCCCACTGCAACAAGTGCATGGGAAGGACACCAGGGAGGGAATGAAAACAACAGAAATTAGAAAGGAAAGCGAGACCTAGAGCAACATGCGAGCAGTGCATGATACAGATGCACAGAGATGCACCTGCTCTCACTGTGCACACGAAGATTCATTTAATCACTAAAAAAAAGCATATCAGAGAAAAAAAAAAAGGCATATCAGAGACACAGCTTTTGGACCTCAGTTCAAGGAGCTACTAAAAAACAGATGGGCTGCACTGAAATAACTGGATGCAAATTAGACAGACAGATACAAAAGTAATTAAAATTGATGTAAGCATTCAATTCATCCAGAGATTTTTCTCTGGGAATCTCACCATTTTGGTGTTACTCTAAATAGAGACAAGAAAAAAAATTAAGTTCAAGTCTTGCCTGCAACGTAAAAAAAAAAAAAAAAAAAAAACCCAAAAAACAAAAACCACCACCACACAACAAGACAAAAAAACACCACCACAACAGGATTCCAGATGCTCTACAGCTGTCAGTTACAAAAGGCTGGAGATTCAGACAGAGTCCTAGAGAGTAGGAAAGGAAAATAGAAGCCAGACATAGCAAAAAAGGTTCAGAACCTTTGGAGGAGGGTGGAAAAACAACAGCAGAACATATCTGAGTATACTTAAACTCAGTTCTGCAGAGAAATTCTTGATATTCACTTATTTTTCAATCAAGATGAAGGATATTTTTTTCCTGACTAGGTGCCACATACACCAGCCAGAGAATTAAATTCCAGTGTGATCAATTATTGCGAGGTTCAGTCAACACATTGCTCAAACCTCCTAAGTGGCATCACCCTCATATTCAGCCAAAGGGAGCCTGGGTGTTCTGAACATCTGCAGATTTGAGATCACCTTTAACATTTGCTTGCAAATGAGAGGGACAGAGACACAGGGAGTGCCTGAGCATATGGCCAAAAGATTACATCCTAACTAAACCCAGCACATGACTTACAAGCTGGTCGCTCACCACACTACAACAAAATCTACACCCTTACACAGAGGCCATGAGGTGCCATGGGTGGGCTGTGGGAGAAAATAAAAGAATGAAAGGATACAGTTTAATTAGAGCTTTTAATAGGAAATGCAATACTGAAAGCAGAACATTCAAAATGCATTTTCATGATCAGCAATTTGACAAATAGCTTCCATTTCCCTGTGAAACATGAATGCAACATTAATGTGTTTGAGAGCACTCTAACTTCTGCAGTAACTGTCCCCAGCTGAACAGTGGAATCAATACATATTTCCATTTCACTCTGTGCTTTCCTCACCTCCTCCAGGTGCTCAGACTTCAGCGCACAGTGATACGCAGTACTAGGTGCAAAGGTTGCTTAAGCAACAAAAACAACAGACCACAATCTTGCGTAGTATGAGTGTTTTGCTAAGTCAATACGCCAAATTCAGGGGCTGTGCACCCTGCAGCACGCACACAGAAGGGAGGAAATCCCTTCTGGGAGGGAAGCTCTGGCTAGGGACTGCTCTAGCCCTTCAGGTCTGTTACATTTTCTACAACTGAGCCTTGGTAAGAATTTTGCTGTCTGAACCCTGCACCAGCAGCTGTAGCACATGTCCTCACTGCAGAGCCAGAGAGTCAACACCTCCTAGTTAATTCTTGAAAGCTGTCTATAAAATCAGTGAGAGGCTGGCAAGTGGCACAAGACTGGCACATCTAACGACGACTCTTCTGTCCCTGGGGATCCCACCCTGACACACAGGTTCCTTTCCCTCTCCTGGAAATCCAAGCATTTTACATGCACAGCCCCTGCACAACCTCACCTCCCACCTGAGGTCGAAGAACCCTTGTCTTTCCCACTGCCTGAACCCAAAAGGTGCTACAGGCTGGAGGAAGCAGAGGCCACGCAGTGACCTCACCCTTAATTTTAACTCAGTCACTGTTTTGTTTCACATAATCCCTATAAAATTTGCCCAGCAGCATGAGAGGCTTGCTATTAAATGCAATTGCATGTGC